GGGGGCTGCCCGGCAAACCCTGAAGCCGGTAGCACTGGGGCAGCCCCTTCCCCCTGGCTGGGAGTGGAAGGGAGGAGGGGGCGGAGTTAGGGTGAGGAAGGGGTGGAGTTGGGGCGAGGCTAGGGTGGGGAAATGGGCGGGGCCAGGGCCCGTGGAGGATCCTCTTTTTTTATTTATGAGATATGGTAACCCTAAAATATGGCAAATTAAAGAGTACAGGAAATACAGTATTTATTCTGGGAATAAATCTAATCATCCAATTAGAAGTTGGGTCACTAATCCTCACATAAGAATTACTCCATAGAAAAGGTGATCTGCAAGAAGTCAGCATTTGTGCTCACCCTTTATTGCTTGATGCATAATGAAAACATGAAAAGGGGTGTCCAAAGTTTGGGGAGTGTCTCTTGGGTTTCTTTTATTTGTTTGATTTTACATTAGGGTTTGACTTTTCAGTTTTTGCTGAGGACACACTGGAGAATGTGTGGGAAAATGGTATCTTAATAGGCTAAAACCTGAGCTGTGACTTTCATGTCCTTAGTTAAGAGCGGAAGGCACATGCTGTTTAACAATGTTTAGGCCAGATTCTGCTCTCAGTCACGGTGGCGAAAATCTAGACTAACACCATGGAAGGCAATCAAGTTATTCCAAGTTTACACAAATAGATTCTGCTCTCAAATACGTCTCCTTGGTATTTTCTTTAAGTTGTTAGTGTTGTAGCCAGAGGCTACTGTGCCTTAGTTTCCCTTCTTGGACTCATTACTCCACATCATGATCCAAAAGATAATTAAAACATTGCCCTTCTGGGACCCACTTTATTTAGTCCTTTCACACATTGGCCCTCCAGCCTCCCACCTAGTGCAGTCTCTCTTCCCAGAGCTGGGTCATTGTTCAATCTCTCTCCCTCTCTTTTCAATTGGGAGTTTGGCCCTCCAAGTCCCAACCCTAGGTCAGTGTCTCTCTCCTCTTAAGTAGAATGTCCCCTAGCCTTCCTTCCTAGAGCGAGGTCACCGTTCCTTTACTCTGCAGGCCCTTCCCTATAAGAAGGTTGATTAGGTCACCTGACCCACTAGTCACATAACCTTCATTTTCTCCACTAGCGAGGTGACTGACGCTTGTCATAGTTGGACTGAGGTCCATCTCTCCTTAAGAGGCACCACACAGTGACATTAATAATAATTCATTTAATTCATATATTTATTTGCACTACCAGAGTGCCTAAGAGCCCCACTCATGGACCAGGCCCCTTTGTCATAGGTGTTGTACAAACACAGAACAAAAGTTTAATTCAAACTCTGGACAAATTGGGGGGAGGGAACCTCCCTCTGTGAAAGATCCAACATTTTCAGCCCTCAAGGGTGGACTGGGAAAGCTACAGACCTAGTTTTAGCCTATTTGTGATGTTGTGATCCCATGCCATTTCTCCGGTGTGTATCCTAAGCAGATAGGGAACTGGGGCCTTTGGACTGGATATTTCTGGGTCAGACACCTTTTGCTGTAAAAAACAGCATTAGGGTCCTTGAACCAGTTTACATTAGTCTGGGGGGCAGGGATAGCTCAGTGATTTGAGCATTAGCCTGCTAAACCCCAGGTTGTGAGCTCAATCCTTGAGGGGACCATTTAGGGATCTGGGGCAAAAATCTGTCAGGGACAGTACTTGGGTCCCACTCAGTAGCGTAGCTAGCGGGGTGCAGGGGAAGCAGCCGCTTCCCCCGCCTTTCCAAAAGCGGGAGGGGGGGTGCAGGCTGGCGGACGGCAGCTATAGGGGGAGCGGCGAGCACGGCTGGAGGAGTGAGTGGGCGCGGACGGAGGAGCAGGGGGTGTAGCATGCAGCTGGAGGAGCAAGGGGGGGGTGCAGGCTGGTGGCCTGCAGCACGGCCGGCAGCCATGGGGGGGCAGCAGGTGCGGCTGGAGGAGTGGGAGGGCGCAGCATGGCAGCGGCAGCTGTGGCCAGAGGAGCGGGGGGGGGGGGCAAGTGGGGGTGGCACGACAGGGCCAGAGGGGACATGGAGCGGCTGGAGGAGGAGCCAAAGGGGGCATGGCCAGAGGAGGAGCCAAGGGGAGGTGCCTTTTTTATGTTTGATTCCCCTCTTCTTAGAAGCTGGCTACGCCACTGGTCCTGCTGTGAAGGCAGGGGACTGGACTCAATGACCTTTCAAGTTCTATGAGATAGGTATATCTCCACATATATATATATATATTTAGTAATGTTGTTCCAGCTGCTTCAAAGTGGCTGCAGTGTGAACAGGGTGGGTAGGCATTTACCAATATGTGATCTGCAAAATGGCAAGTTAGCTTAAACATGGTCTTTGTCTGTGATTCTGTCACTCTTCTCTTTGCAGGGTGGAGCCTTCTGTGAACCATTACATTAGGATGCCACCATGGAATCTTCAATTACCCACCCCCTCCTTGATGTTTATAGTTACAAACTATATGTTCTGTGCATTAAATAAAACTTGCAGGCATTGCAAGTGTGACTTCTCCATACCCCCTAACCATAAAGCATCCCCACTGCCCTATACTGTTTGGTAAATGGTTGGTGTAACTGCAGGCTCATGAGCAGCTAAAAATCCTTGCTGTGTGGAGCCCAGCTCGCTGTTGAGCTCCCTCCCAAACCCCAACTGTCTACCACTAAAGCCTGTATGAAGCAGCCTGGGAAAGGCTCTGACCGCACCTAGTTTCTATACGCAGTGAGAATGTGCCTTAGGCTAAGGTGGGGTGGATTGCTGTGTGTCACCTCCCTCCCTTTACCTGGGCAGAAAGCCAAACAAGGAGATTGATGATATGGCAAGGAAGAAGACCACAGTCGCAAATTTGCTCAGCAACTGGCCCCCACCTGGAGGCTTTGTTTGGATAAGGACCTGGCAAGTTGCTCAGAATGCAGGGAGGGGAGAGAATACAGCCTCCTTCTCAGCCACTCTCCAGAGAAGAGGAGTCCAACCAAGGCAGAGGAGCTAAAAAGGAAATGAATGGGAAGTTGAATGAAGAAGAAAATAAGGAGAGTCACTCACAGTGTGTGTGACTGAGGGTATGTCTGCACTGCAATAAGACACCCATGAGCCAGAGTCAGCTGAGATGGGCCAGCACAGGTGTTTCATTTCACTGAAGTGGTGACAGACTCTGAGTGAGACAGTGTGTGGCAGACAGGGTCTCTGTGTGTACTTGTACTCTGGCTAGAGAAGCATGACAAGATATAGCTCTGTGGGCTGTCCACAGTATAATAAGAAAACCACTAAATAGGTAGAAGCCTGTCATGAAACTACCACTAAAACTATTTGACAGCATAAACCTACCCATTCTACTCTATGGGAGCAAAGTCAGGTGTTACTTCCACAGCATCAGTGATGACAAATCCCTACACCTTAGTTAGCAAACAGGGCCGGTTCCAGGCACCAGCAAAGGAAGCAGGTGCTTGGGGCGGAGGATGGAAAGGGGCGGCACGTCCGGGTCTTCGGCGGCGGGTCCCTCAGTCCCTCTCTTCCTCTTTGAGCTGCTGCCGAAGAGGAAGAGAGGGAGTGAAGGCCCCACCGCTGAATTGCCGCAGAAGAATGAAGCGACACGATTGAACTGCCACCAAAGTGACGCCGATCGGCTTTATTTGTTTATTTATTTCCCCACTTTGCTGCTTGGGGTGGCAAAAAAGCTGGCACCGGCCCTGTTTGCAAACAACTGTAACAGGATACAAGAAATGGACAAACAACAGCTATAGTGCAGAACTAAGATACTTCACCCTCCTCATCAACATACATAAAAGAATACTAGACTTCCAGGGACATTTCAGCCTAAGTAGTATATGCCCACCTTGTTCACTGCAAAACTTTAGAGGAGCAGAATTAATCCAAAACAAAATCCAGTGCTATCTAGCAGGCCTTCCAGGCCTCAACAATACTAACCTCCTGATCAGTGGAGCAAACAGTTTCACCCCTAACTGAATGATGCTCAAGACACTAGACCCACACCTAGAAAACCAATATGAGTCAACAGGAAGAACAGACCATAAGTAACAAACTAGACTGTTACAGATCCCTGTGCAGAACTGTCATGCCAGCAGATATCTCAGCACAATGATTTGTGCAGAATTATTGAAGGCTTTTCTCAAATACAGAATCAGAGACCACAAAGTAGAGAGAGAAGATTGGGAGACAAAGCATAGAGCAAGGGAGGACCAATTGTGCATCCAATGGGAGAGAGGAGAGATTGTAGCAGACTTTGTTTCAGGATCCAAAATACACAGGGCTGTGAGAAAGATATGTCCTCAGATTATAAAGATTGACCAAAGACTTTCACCAAGGAGGATGAGGAAAAGAAATCTTTTTGATGGGAAAAAGGAGAGTGATGGTAGAGATGGCATTGTGCTAGGTAGGGACACAAAATGAAATTCCAAAGACACTGTGAATCTCCCAGGGCAAAGTGCATGATCTACCTCTGACAGATACCTGAGGATCTGCCTCTTCCTTACATTTTGGCAACACTTGCATAGCTTGTTATACTATTAAGAATTAGAGAGAGCATACATCAGAGAGTGAGTGCTGGCCCCAGCCATCCCCTATGGAGTAAAAACAAAACAACAGAAAAGATGCTGCAAATTTCAAGAAAGTATAAACTGCACTCTTGCATCCCATCAAATCCACCTGAATCTACCAGGTGAGCAACAACGTGTGGATGTGATGGTTTCAGATAGGATAGTAATTCAAATACCACAGTGACGGGCGCATGCTGGAGGAGGTAGATACACCTTATTAAACAATACCCAGATTCTTTCTTGGTGGTTTAGTAGTAAACTTCGTAACATAAGAGAGCTGTGTTTCTGCTCCTCATGGGGCAGATCCCCACCCCCAGACAGAGAAGGGCTAAAGAGCTCCTCTGGGCACAATCAGCCTCAACTCTGTGTGCCTGTGAGCTTGTCAAGCCTAGAGATGGGTGGGTCTTTAAAAGGGAGGATAAGGCTCCCTACTTAATGTAGGCAGGTACTTTGAAGGGATAGGACTGCTAGTCAGATCTCCTTGGCCCCAGGGTTTGCTGACTGGGGAAATGACTAGAGGCCTTTTTTGTTGTTGTTTGGTTGGTTTTCTAAAGGCCTAGGATGCTGCTTTTTGTTGGCTATGGAAGCAAACTTTTTGTTTTGACTCCTTTAACTGGCCCCCCACAAGGGAGCAAATGCCTTGAACAGCACTGCTGGAGGGCTGTGCCCTGGATTCCCAGACTGGAGCAGCATACACCCTCTCCCTGTGAGGGGCTGAGGGGTATAGCTTATGATACTGCTTCAGAGCAGACCTTCTGCTTCCTCTGCTGTTTTTCTCTACAGTGAGCACTCCAGGCCTCTGCCAGACTCCAAGCAGCTTTTATTTCACTGGGTCTATGAAAAACGTTATGCTGAAAATAACTATGAGGCTATAAAGACACTGATCTGACCCCAATTTTCATCTCTTCACTCACAATGAAGCCATGTGTGTCTCCTGGGAGGGGCATGCTCAATTTTAATGGCTCTTGGTAGGCAAAACCTTTTGGAGCCAGGATTTGTGAACACAATAGAGTGTTCACCTTCTCCACCTGACTCTCAAAAAAAATCAGCTAGGCTCCCTCAGAAGACTTTTATGTGTGTGTATGGGGGGGTGGGGGTTGTGATTAGAGGAACAGGGAGCCTAGGGGGTATAGTGGGTGCTGACTTGTGTTTATGTACTGGTCTGATAGTGTTTTGCAATATTTCTCAATGACTGGTCCATGGACCAGTGCTGGTCCTGGAGATCTCCTGACACACTTCACAGAGGCAGCAAGCCACTCTCTGGTATCAAAAAGGGTGAGAAATACTGTGTTAGAGCAGTAGTTCTCAATGAGGTGTACACAGACCCCCTGGGGATATGTCAACTCATCTAGAGCAGTGGTTCTCAACTAGGGTGTCAACCCCCAGAAGTCACAGGACAGGTTTAGGGGGTTGCTAGTGCAAGGCTGGTGTTAAGGCACGGCAAGCAGGGCAATTGCCAGGGGGCCCTCATGAAGTTAAGTTACATGCTTCAGCCCTGGAAGGCAGGATTCTGGCTTCAGACTCCTGAAAGGGGTACAGTGTCTGGAAAGGATAAGAACCACAGTGTTGGAGGACACAGGTTTTGGGGACTGATCTATGCTGCAGTGCCCCCTGCTGGGCAGCAGAGGCAGTAGCATTGCCTAACTCATAGCATCTGTCAAAAGCAACAGAGGGTCCTGTGGCACCTTTAAGACTAACAGAAGTATTGGGAGCATAAGCTTTCGTGGGTAAGAACCTCACTTCTTCTGTTAGTCTTAAAGGTGCCACAGGACCCTCTGTTGCTTTTTACAGATTCAGACTAACACGGCTACCCCTCTGATACTTGACACCATAGCATCTGTTCTCCCAGAAATGTTTTGAAGCATATACATGCTTCAGGATCATGCAAGAAACCCTCTTCTCCAGCTGGTTTTATTAACTCAAATCAAAAACAGTTCCTTCCTAACCCCCCTGATAAACTCAGTCCTTTCCCAGCCTCTCTGCCTGGGCAAACAACGTGTTCCTGAAGTCTTCATAAAGCCTCCTCTGTTGGGTCTTAAATTAAGAAGACAAGGTACAACTGCAGATCAATTGTCTGAAGGCTTACCAGCCTGCTTCCTTCATCCAGCAGGATCACACAAGATTCCTTAAGCCCGCTCTCCAGAATTTCCTCCCCACCACTGGAAGCTATCTTGCTCCTATGGTTGTCTCAGTCTAGCCCAGGCATTCTCACAACACATTTTTTGGTGGTCTCAGCATGCAGCCACCAACTCTTGCTGGTTGCTGCTCTGACAATTTTTCCTAAGATACTTAACTCTAGGAAAAACAAATACATATGCACATATACACATCCAAATGACAACCCTGTTCCTGTCTTCCATGGCCCTTCAGCAAGAGCCTACCTTGGGGAAGGTGGGTTGGGAACTCATCAGCCACCTACAGAGTCCTAGCTCTCTGTGCCCTGGATGGGTGGGAACAGGGGAGCACCCCAGTGACCAAATGCCACAACCACCTCCACTGACAAGAGCGGCCTCCAGTGCTGTGCACACAAGCCCCACACTGCCCAGAGCCCCTGAGGAGGCTACAGCCCTAAACACACCCCCTTCCCCCTAGAAAGTAACTGCAGACTACTTCCCTGCAGTCTCCTTTCTGCTAGCAGCTCCCGAGCTTTATAGAAGCCCCACCTTCTCCTACACAGGTAAGCTTCCCCTAATTAGGGCTTTCCTCTCAACCTTAATTTTCCCAACTTGCAACCCATTAGATTAATTGTCCATTCTGGCCTACATTAACCCCTTCAGAGTGAATGTGGGGAACACACCCCATCACATCTACATTTAAAACTTTTGCTGAGAAACCTATGCTAGTATAGCTATGCTGGCAAAACCCTCCGAGCAAAGACACAGTTTATACTGGCAAAACCACTTTTATGTCAGCATAACTGCATCTATGCTGGGGCTTTAGCCGGTATAGAAATGTTGCAGAAAATCTGTCCCCTCCTCCCCAACCCAAATGATGTTGCTATACAGGCAAAAGTTTCTAGGGTAGACCTGACCTAACTTCATTAATGTCTGCTTTGATCTCCTCTGACGGAAGGCACAGGAGACTGGCAGAAGGTTCTTAATGTGCTCAGTTCACAAGTCAGAAGATGTTTTTTCTTATTGCTGGTGCCACCAACTTCCACTGGGAGTGGTGAGTCCAGCTGGGTCCTTTCTGCCTTTGTCAGTGTTGTTAGTGATACATGAGACAGCACAATCCCCTGCTTGCTTGTCAGTTCCTGCATGAGTAATGGGAGTAAAACCTCCTGGGTGTCAGCAAAACTTGCAGGTGTGACTCAGAAGCATGCAAGGGAAGGAAGGGGCTATTTTATAGTCACTTTGCCAACTATACCTGCTCTGTAGGACCATTACCAAATGGCACTCACATCTCTACATGCCATAGCTCCTCCACCTCTTGTGTGCATGGGAGTTGGAGAGAGTCATTGTCCCTCTTTCTGGGGTCTTATGTATTTTCATGGCCTGGGTCCCTAAACAGGGCCCTTGTTTGACCTCTGTGGGCCTCCCTAGTCCACAAAAGTCTCTCTGTTATTAAGACTGGCATTATGTAGCTCTTTTCAGCATGGAGAGCCCTGGGACTGTAGTGTGTTTCTTGGCATTCAGGGAAACAACGGGTAACCTTCAGCATGCTGGGAAAGGCACCTGGAAGTAGCTAACCTCTTGACATTCATTTCCATGCCCTACCTTGGGGGAAATAAACTCAGACTCTTCACCCAACCCATTGAGTTCAATGGCTGCCAAACTAATTGCAGTCGATAAGGAGAACAATCAGAGGCTGGCAGGATTATCAGCTGTCATGCGGCTTCCAGTTTAATTAGACATTCTGGCAGGGAGCTTAATCTGCTTTTTGGATCTCATTTGCATAACAAATTAGGGTGACAACAAGCACTAGCCAGCCCAGTGACTTCTGGGGTGGGAGCTGAGGTGGGGGCATCCTGTTTTCTGCATGGAGGGACATGATATGCATAGCCCTGATACCACACAATTTAAACAATTTGCTTGGGTACCCCTTCTTTTTCATACAACTCCTCAAGCTACTAGAGACATGTGACACATGGGGGCCTAGCACTCTGCAGAGAACAGGTGCCCACAAATGGAACATACAGTAGCATCTTAGTAGCCCAAGTACCTGGGAAGCTGAAGCATCTGGCTGCGGGAAAGGAGGATGCAGGCTGAAACATTTTCACTCTTGTGGCCACAGAGTAAAAAAAAACAGACACATTGAATTTTCCATTCCTGTCTGGTGAAAGCCACTGGGTAAGTACTGGGTTTGTTACTGGTGGAGACTGTCAGTTCCAGGGAGAGTGCCAGCTTCTCTTATGGAAACTGTTGTGTGGATTTCACTCAGCAAACCAACATTTGATTCTAACATTTTGGTTCATTCCATTTCTGGATAAGATTATGGTAAGACAACTCTCTGACTACCTCGTTGTGTCAGATCTCCTTGCTCATCTGCATACAGACCTGGGTATGAGACAGAAGCGGCACTGACAGCAATGGTAGATGATTTCCTCTTGATAATGGATGAAGATCAAGTATGCATGCTGATATTGCTTAATCGATCAGCAGCCTTTTATGATACCATTGACCATGAGGAGCAGCTGTCAAAAGGAGGAGATGGTACAGATCCTGGGTGGCTCCATTCTTGCCTTGTGGAGCACTCCCAGAGAAAGCTGTGGGGCAATTGATCCACCTCGTAAAGGACACTGTCATGTGGCATTCTGCAGGGTTCCATTTTGTTTCCAGTCCTGTTCAACACATCTATGAGGCTTACGTAGGTCTACACTTACCTCCGGGTCTGGCGGTAAGCAATCGATCTTCTGGGATCGATCCCAGAAGTGCTCGCCGTCGACACCGGTACTCCAGCTCGGCGAGAAGAGTATGCGGCATCGACGGGGGAGCCTGCCTGCCGCGTCTGGACCCGCGGTAAGTTCGAACTAAGGTACTTCAAATTCAGCTACGTTATTAACGAACCTTAGTTCGAAATGGGGGGTTAGTGTGGACCAGGAGAGCATGACTTAAGCGGCTTTCAATATGCTAATTATGTGTCCCCAGGCTGCAGTTGGGATTATGATTTCTCAACTGGGTGTGTGCTAGTTAATAGAATATGGACACTTTCACTTCTAGATCACCAGTTCCCAGCCAGCCATAGATCTGGGAAGGTGACCTGGTTCAGAGGCATCTGGGAATGGGATACTGAGACTTTCATCTCTAGGACACGAACTCCAATACAGCCCACCGTTGGGGGGACTGGATGGATCAAGGAAGCACTAGGAGAAAAGATTCCTTGGTTCTGTTTCTGACATTGATACCTTAAACACTACTTAATTAAAAACAGGTTAGCTAACATGTTTTACCCCTCCATCCCACCTCTTTTCCTACTCTAGATATTTCTAGAAAAGGGCAAGGGACTATCATGTTCTCAGTCACTAAGAGGATAGGGGCCATTAACAATATCCTCACTATTTCTCCTTTAGGTTCTCAGTTCAAAGCCAGCCCAGGTCAGTAGTAGCTGAACCTTATTACCATTTGGTAGTTGCCTGGTGTCTCTGCTCTGTGAAAGGTGTTTGGTGGATCTCAGGTCACTTCTAATGATCAGATAACCACATTTGGTCCATTGTCAGAAAGACCAATGGGCCATTGGACTGAACTCCTCTCCCATCCTTAGCAGGGGCTGTCCATCCAGGTCAGGACTTAGGCACATTGGCAAAGACTACTGTGACGTAAGAGATGAAGAATATGATATTTCATCATCTCATGTAATTTGTGGATTCAGACTATGAAAAGTTCGCCTCTGTCTTATGAAATGCCCACTGGAGGAGATAAACATAGAAACTCCTAGACTTTCTTTTCATTTACAGTAGGGTAAATCAGAATTAATTCAACTGCAGTAATTGGTGTAAAACTGGTGGAAGTAAGAGGAGAATCAGGATTTTTATCCTCACAGCCACACATAGGCCCTGCAAAGGGTGTGGCTCAGAGCCACCGAAAGAACTAGGTACACATAGCTTGGCTAAAAGACAACTAAAGCCCACTTAATACATTTTCAAACAAGCACCTTTATGCTTTTTCTCATGCTGCCTGTGACGCATTGCTAGAAAGTGTTAAATATCCTGCAAAATAAATTACCCTCAAGACATGTGGGGAGATAATGTTTGTGTTTTTGTGTATTTACATATGTATGAGTAGGGTCTACAATGTTATCAACAGTCCCTGTCTATGCTGAATCCTGATAATTCAGAGGTCAAAAGAACATCCTATCATTTAAATTAATTGTAAACACAGGATATCTCTGTATTCATCTCTCTTTGATATGTATAGCAAATAATCTGTGATTGGTGGAGGAACAAGCAAATTACCTTATGTTAATTCTATAGGTAAGTACCAGTGATGGACCTACTTCAAAGTCATGCTAATTACCTTTTGAACTCACAGCTTGTCAAAAGACATGAAATTGTATAAAAGATCCTTGGGTCCTGAGTCTGTCATCTCAGATCTGCTTAGGCTTCATCAAGGGAACTTTGAGTCGCAAGACTAAGGTCCCAGTTATGCTGGTACGCCCTGAATATGAGATTTGGACTATAACTTATGAACTATTGGACTATAACCTATGAACTATTTCTGAAAGAACTCTTTGCAACTAGAAAGCTCGCCGTCTATGCTATGAATCTGAACCTCAGTGAATTGAACTCATGTCAGTATGTATATTGACCTTTTAACCATACTCTCTCTGTGTTGTTTTTTAATACATTTTAGTTTAGTTAATAAGAATTGGCTGTAGCGTGTATTTGGGTAAGATCTGAAACATTCATTAACCAGGGAGGTAATGTGTCTGAGCCTTGGGATTGGTAGAACCTTTTCTTTTATATGAAATAAGATTTACAGAAATTTTCATCATATCTGATGTGGGTACCTGGATGCAGGGCCGGCTTTAGGCCGATTCCACCGATTCCCCTGAATTGGGCCCCGCCCCTAAGAGGGCCCCGCGCAGTGTCTCTGCCTAAAGCAAAGCTCCCTGGCTCTCCCGGAAGCAGCAGCTGTTGCTGCTAGGCAACGAGAGACGCTGGTGGGGGGCGGGAGCTGAGGCAGAGGCAGCGGGGACTGTTGCAGGTCAGGAGGGGAGGAGAAGGCACGTGTGCTTTGCAGCCTTCCCCTCCCCTCCCCTCCCCCCCCCCCAGCACTCACCTGGAGGAGACACCTAGGGGGCTTCGGTCCGGTGGGAGACAGGAATCTCGGCAGTGGACCTCACTCACCTTAGCAGCTGCTGGGGCTTCAGTCGGTGAGTGTTTGACCCCGTGATTCCCCCTAGGTTTGTAATATTGGGTTGGTTTTGTAGTTTTCGGTGGTGTTGCTGTTTGAGGGTGAGTTTGTGCCTGCCTGTGTCTGTTTCAAAACTAAACTCGGGATCGTGTAACCCAGGAAGAAAGCCCCGATCCAGTACTTAGTGCTGTGAATTCCAGGTGAGAGAGAGGGAGGTTCTTCCGGGATGGACACTTCAATCCTGAAGTTGTGAAATACCGCCAGCTCTGTTTCAAGTCCCAGTACAAACGCTACCTGAACTCCCAGCAGCAGTACTTCTACCGACTCCTCAAGCAGATCCTTGCTTCCCGCAATGTAAGTTCTTGCAGGGTGCAGTGAGTTACTTGATGCATTACATGAAGAACATGGTTTAACTTTGTCTGTTGAAGGATTCGGTGGTGTTCATGTAGCCACTATTCCCTGCTGGAATGTTTTATTAAATACTGCAGTTGTTGTGATTTTAGGCTTGGTTGGTCCCTAAATGTAAAGTTGCTGAAAGGATTCTTGATGCTCACACAGATATTTGACAAGTATCTATCTTACCCTGAACCTGCACAGATTCCTCACTCTTCTATGTAACACCTTTTTTTTTCCCCCTGAGGACCTCATTGTTTTATAAACAATTTATAGATTCCACGGTCAGAAGGGACCATTGTGATCATCTAGTCTGACCTCCTGTATAACACAGGTCATAGAACTACCCCCAAAATAATGCTTAGAGTATATCTTTTGGAAAACATCCAGTCTTAAATTGCCAGTGATGCAGCATGACTCTTGGTAAATTCTTCCAGTGGTAGTTACCCACTCTTACAAATTTCCAGCTTATTTCCAGTCTGAATTGGTTTAGGTTCAACCTCCAGCCAGTAATTTGTTATATCTTCTCTGTTAGACTGAAGAACCCATTGTTAAATATTTGTTCCCCATGCAGATATGTATAGAGTGTAATCAAGTCACCCTTTAACCTTCTTTTCGCTAAGCTGAATAGATTGAGCTTTGAGTCTATCACTAGAGAGATGGTTTTCTAATCCTTTAATCATTCTCGTGACTCTTCTCTGAACCGTCTCCAATTTATCAACCTTCTTGGATTGTGGGCCCCAGTACTGGACCTCGTATTCCAGCAGCGGTTGCACCAAGGCCAAATATAGAGACCAATTATATTTAGCACTCAGCTTTTCTCCCCTCTCTCTCCTGCTCCTTCCATCCCAGCAAAATAAATATCGTCATTTTATGCATTGGCAAAGTGATGGTCAAGTGACTTCCCCAACATCATGTTGTTCAGTGGCAAAGTTGGGAATAGAACCAGGGAGTTCGGACTCCCTGGGCTAGTCAATTCCCAATGCTGACTTCTTGTCACCTGTGATAGCAAACCACTAGTACTGATTCCAAGTATTTTGCTCTAACCATTATATTTAAGATATTTAAGAGTAGGTTAGATAAATGTCTATCAGGGATGGTCTAGACGGTATTTGGTCCTGCCATGCGGGCAGGGGACTGGACTCGATGACCTCTCGAGGTCCCTTCCAGTTCTAGAATCTATGAATCTATGAATCTATGAAATCAAATACATCAAGAGGGGAGAATGCGAAAGGTCTGCAACACGGCAGGCTGAGACTTTTATCTCTCCCTTCTCCCCCGAGAGAGGGGAAACTGAGGCACGGAGTGATTTGATTCCCCTCCCCAAATTATTTTGCAAAGGAGGGGGACGGGGGCTCCTATCCAAACCAGTTCCCTTTCCATCAACTCTGCTTCCCCTGCTGCAAGACCACTGTAGGGGCTGAATATTTCCATTAAACTCTGGCTCCTTTGTTTGCCCTGCAACAATAAAATAGACCGGCTTGGGGGGGAGGAATATCCCCCCCCCAAGCTGTGTGAACATTAAGGTTTTTTTGGGGGGGGCACGATAATATTCCGGATCGATCAAACACCCAGCTCAGCTTTCTAGCCATCCAACAGCTCTAGGGTAGGGAAGGAAGGGGGTCTTGGTGCAGGGTGGGCGCAAAACAGGGGTGAATTTAGCTGGGGGGGGTCCAGTTGAAATCCCACCCGATGCAGCCACACAGAATCGCTGGCAGCGCTAGGAGAGG